GAACTTCATATTGAGATTTCAAATCACCAGATTACAAATACAAATACAACACTTGAAATGTTGAAAAACCTTTTATCTGCTCCTTGTAAATGAAATGAGGTAACACACCTGGCTGTGGAACAGCCAATGGTGCAGGTACTTTTGGTCCCTTAAAAATGAAGAGGTCACAAAGTATGATTCCTATACCGTTCACACAATCCAGTTCTCTACATACAGGTGGCATGAATTGAGAAAAAAAAGCATGCTGTTGTGATACTCACATTAACCTGCACACCTAGAGCTCCTGTGCACAGACAGAGCACCATAACAAGGACAACACTGAGCGCTCTCATTTTCAGATGATGTGAGGTGCCTTCAGTTTTTCTTATGTGGTTGCTGTAGAGCTTATAGACACAACAAGACTGGAAGGTTAGCTGACCAAATACAACTGGCAGTGCATGGTATTTATACAATAGTCCAACAGGTAGGGAGGGGAAGTAGGGGGTCTTGCAAACAGCTGATAAAAACAGAGGAGTGAAAAAAACAAAGAGACAAAACACAGATGACTGACAACACTATAACAAAGACAAAGCCTTCTTCATCAAGAGCAGCTTTGCATCGCTTCAATGTGCATTCTTCATTGTGTTTCTGTACTGCCTCTTCAGGATTTGTACAAGTCAGTCAGTGATTTATTAACCAACAGAACTGGTATTACAGCAAGAGTAAAGGTGGTCGGACAGCAACTGGTCAGAAATGACCAAAGGCTGCCAGACTTGCTGGACCAGTGCTTNGATTTGGATAAGCACACTCAGTGCCATCTAATAAATCTCATCCTTTGTCTCTCTCATAGATATTTGTCACAGAGGTGTCTGATAAGGAAGCAGCCACATAGAGCTGCTCCATGCAAGCCACTTGTTTAAATAGCTGTGAAATAGAAAAAGCATGACGTTTTACAAATAAAAATGGCGACTTTATTTGTTTGGTTAAGCAATCTGATAATTGCACATCTGAGCTCAAAATGTTGCAAAAACACTGCTTTGATGCTTATTTCAATAAGTAAGTAAGAAAAAGACTTTGGTGAGGAGCAGCTGACCAATCTTCCCAGGTTTTACATCAGATAAGAGCGGGACTGTGACTTCACATTGAGTCAGAGTCACAGTCTGGAGTCTTCCATCAACACTGAGTTAAATATATGAATCTGGGGGTATTGTTTGAGAAGTCAAGTCAAGCTCACAAAATGTTCTTTTTTTGTAGTTTTTTTTTTTCTTTCTTTGCTGAGTTTAAACAGCAAATTGAGACTTTAACTTTCTTGTTTATTTTCTGTTTATAACCTTGAGACAGACAGCGTTTGGTCTAACACTGGGCCAAACTGTGCACAACTTGGCTTGAGCTAAAAGGAAGTTGCCGCAGGGGACTGTCTCAGAGAAATGCTGTGTACATTTTAACATTTTCTGGGATGCACCCCTAAAAATCTACATAATCTGTGAACTTCAACCTTCAAACACCCAAAAGGGATTTCAAATCACTTTTGTCAGTTCACTGTAAAAAATGAGCAGCATGGATAACTCTTGTCCTTCATTATGTAATCTTTATTTACTCTGGGTTGGCACAGTGCTGCAGAGGTTTGTACTGCTGCCTCATTGCGAGGCTCAACCTGCTGGTTGGTTGAAGCCTTTCTGTATAGAGTTTGTACGTTCTCCCTGTGCTTCTGTGGGCTTTCTAATCCCACAGTCTAAAGACACGCATGGCAGCTTAATGGTGATTCTAAATTGTCAATAGGTGAGTGTGCGTGGTTGTCTGTCTCTTTGTGTTAGATCTATGGTGATGTTCCCCGCCTCTGGTCCGGTGTCAGCTAGGATAGTCTATGTGAAGTGCTTTGAGCTGAATGTATGTAATGAATCGCTTCTATGTGGATAAAACTGAATTCAGTTAAAGTAAAAAAAACTAAAAAAACAACTAAAAATCAAGTGACAACAAATCAACGTTGAAAGGAAAATGATTTACAAAGATTTAAAGAAAAATAAATGATCAGACCATTAAAATTTGCTTAAATGGGCTAAAACCAAAGACGAATAGTCAAGGAAGCATTTACCAAGGGAAACTATTAAACACTTTTGTGGTCAATTTGAATGAGAAGCCTAAATGTAACAGCAAAGTTATTTTCAGTGGAGGCTAGTATACATAGTTTTATACAATTAATTATATTATCAGATTTCCATATCATACAAAAAGTGTTGAGTCCAATTCTCCCAAAGCTAAAAAGTAGAGATAAAAATGAATCTCCTTAGAAGGACCTCAAGATGTTTCCTTTGTCTGGCATTCTTGACACTTATGTAAACTGCATACAAACATGCAGAGCTTGTGAAACAGTCACTGCACTGCCACTACACAGACATAAAATGAACTAATAGATATTTATCATATACAAAAATGATAACCAAAGAGCTTACAATTCTTTTTTCCCCACACAATGCTGACACACCAGATGCAGCTCTGCTGCATGAAGATTATGAGAATTTATTTTGCAGCATGAATGCAGACGTCTCCATTAAAATACACCGACATGCACAGACACACATGAGACAGCAGTTAAAAACAACTGTTAAGTAACTAGACAAGTATTGTTTAGAAAATCAATACAGACTGTGATTACTTTTTTATTGATTTTTTTCCCTAAATATCCGTTATGTAACTGCTAACTGACTGGAGCTATACGGTACTATGTGAAGCTGTCTGGCACAAAATTTAAAAAAAAACAAACAAAGGATTCTGAGATCACTCTTTGTCTACACCAGTTCTCAATTTTTCAGGGCACTTGTGAAGTAGCTTCCGTGGATTTAGTGTTTCTCAGCGTCTTCATGTAATCCCAGAGTGACTCCATGACATTAAGAACAGGGCTCCGATTTGAAGAAGTCCTCGTTTTTGTCATGACTGCCTGCCCGCCTTTGGTTTAAAAAAGTACCTCTAAAGTCCTGCCTTTCTTTATGTTTTCAAGTTAATGTAACACTTTCTTGTTTAAGACTATTACACTGGTAAAAAAAAACAAACAAATATAACCAAGAAAATGTGACATACACTAAGTATATTTTGTCTACAAAGAGTTCTCCATGTTGGCAACTCGTTACTGCTTTAATTATGCAGCTTCAAGCATCAAGGCTGTGAGTATATTGCAGGTGTCAGGACTGGTTTGTTGAGAGTCCACTGGTGCCTCGGACTGACAGTATATCTGTATAATGAGGTAGTATAGCTGCATAAAATTAATTATTCACAGCACTAAACCTAGATATACCGCATATTTGAGACTGAACTGAAGGTGAAGGAAGGCATTAGCAGATGCTGCGTTACAGATATAAGTAGTGTTAATGATGCTGGAGTCTATGTAGGGATTGGAAAGCATAAAATGCAAAAATAGGGGGTAAAAATAGAAGGTTAGTACCACTACTACTGCAGGTACTGCCAGAGATCATCAGACAGGACCTGTCAGTGTATGAATGTTAATATACAAATCTATAAATGCCCAGCAAACCCTGCTTAAGTGAGCTAAGGGTGACTTTGGCCCAATTCTAATCAGTGTTTTTCAACTTTGTGGTGCCAAGAAATGTCTGAAAGCTGTAGAATGACAGATAAAATGTTTTACATAAGACCATTGTGCATATAATTTGAGATTTTTGGTGCGTTATCAGCTTGCTAGAACAGCAAATATTGATGTAAGGTGACCACACACATGAACCAAAATAAATACCATTGTTACTCTGTGTCTGCTGGATGTATCAGCAATTGTTTGCTGAAAGGTTATAATTACATGATAAGCTGGGTTTATGGTGGAAACATTGGTTCTTCTGGCTTTTTAATAATTTTCGTATTCACCCTGGATGACAATGAGCATGGTAGTAGGGTGAGTATAATTCTCTATATCTATGTAACATCACATCAAGTCACTCTCAGTATAGCATATTTAAAGCAACCGTTCTTGTGCAAATGAACAGTCAAGTAGACAATTATGATTGCTGTTACAAATTACCATAACAAATGGAAATATGAAGGTTACAGTGTTATTTATGGTGTGAATTGATCTAAGCAGTTTAAATATCAAAGAGCAAAATACTGCAAGCAATCCCAGAAAATACAACTTTACCTGACTATGATAAATATTAAAGCTAGGGCCCTACAATATTATTAATTATACAGATTAAACTGACTAATTTCAAGCTAAAGTTATGGCCCTTAAAAATGTAGACAAACACCCAACAAATTCAGTGATTGCATGGATTTCCTAAGAGAAAGATTTGAACTGAATTCGAATATTATGTGTATTATTTTGAGTTTTATCTATTTTTATTTAATTTTTTTGATCCTAGAGGCCTTTCAGTTTGAGAGGACTGTTTCTTCTGTGGCCGCTGTATATCTGCTCTGCCTCTTATAAGGGGTTGTATTTTATTTAAATGAAGAGGACAAAGAAAAAGCTTGAATCAGGACCAAGAGGAGTAATTGTGAAGAGGATCTCCCAGGCTTATGGGCAGAAAACACATCAGTAAATAAGCAAATCGTGCATATTAGGAGTGTTTGCATTTGTAGGAAAGACCACAAAATACCCATAACATATCAATGAAAGCTTTTTTATTTCAAACAACATTCATAAAAAAGAAGAAAAGTGAAAAAGAAAACATCTCTTTAAATATGTATAAAGCAAGGTGAGATAGAAATGTAACAAACGATAAAAAAAATTCCAAAATAAAATGCAGGATAAAGAGCTGCAGGAAAAACAATAAAATGGTAAATATGCCAAAAAAGTAACAGTTTGAAAAACATTCCTCACTTTGTCAATTTTTTTTCTTTTGTAGGCCATTTTTGGGTTAACAATGACTCCAAAGTGTAGCCAAATGGGCAGGCGTCACAACTTCAGGGATAATGCTATTGTCTTATCATTGCAGGTGATTTAATTTTAAATTTTTTTTTAAGGAGGATGAAAGAAAATCACAAAGCTTTAGTGGGGCAAGGTGTCTCCGGCTTGCTGTGTTTGTTTAGCAACCAGTGCAGGCGGCAAACGCACAGATCTCACAGATGTCCAGAGGAACCGCAGCTAGAATACAGAGAAGAAGAAACAGACCGCATCAGCTACCAGGCGGAATCACCCATAATTTAACATTCACGACTTCTCTTAAAGTTCAGACCGGCTGTTGGGTTTATTGTCGCCTTACCTAATCTGGACAGGGATGCGGATCCTCCTCTCTGCTTGCAGAGGGGCAGCAGCTCCTGGGGCAGCATGGGGTCAGCACAGAGGGACATGGAGCTTGACCTGAATCGTGGGTTTTGCTGTCCGGTCCCAAAGCTTCCCTCCGTCAGCTCCTGAAGCCTCCTAACAGCTGACAGTGAGAAAGACAATCCATTCTCCTGGAAGACGAAGAAGAAGAAGCACATGTTGGTTAGAATTTAACCCTAAAGCTCAGTTTGCTGATACAGAAAATAATATGACAAGCAACAATACTTCACATCAGGTTTGTCAGGTTAGGTCAGGAAATGTTCAGGCTGGTGGTCTCATTATAAACACATCAATCATGCAAAGAATGTTGAGTCAGGACTTACTTCGACTTGCACAGCCTCAGAGGTCCAGCCGAGAGCAAGGACGAGGAGGGCGATGGTGGCGAGCGTGGCCTTCATGGTGAAAAGTTGACAGCAGGTTGTGTTGCAGCCTCTGTGTGTCTGGTTGTGGATGTGCTCAGCAGGTGCTCAAGCTCAGCGTGTCTGCTTTCCCTCCGTCCACAACCTCCTTTTAAATAGTCGAGTCCCGCAGCCCAGAGGTCATGTGACCAAATTTGCTAGAAAGAGGGGCAAAGTTTTTCTCATGGGTTAATAAGTAATGATGGGGGTTTTACAAGGTTCTAAAGCGAAATTCATAAATCCTGCTTTGACCTTATCACCTGTCTGATTATTTTTATGGATCTCTGGCTCCCTCTCTGCTCTCATCTGAGCTGATCACACCTCAGATGGGTTAAACAGTTACCATGAGTTTCACTGAAGCCACACTGGTTTATTGTTAGACACCTACTCACACCTACGCTAATTATTGAACTTTGTTTAATATCAGGAAATGTCTGCCAGTCTCAGATAAGAAAAACTTACTCAGTACAAGTCCTATGTTTTTATATGTGAATAGGTTGTTTTATTTGGGCTCTACGAGACCACTGACAGATTAGTTGAATTTGATCATCACGTCACAATGTAATGTTACAAGGTGTGTCAGAAAAGTTCCAGGACTGGTGGCACAAAAGATATATTTCAAACCCAAACTACAAACTACAAGTTTTCACTTCAGATGATCAACCAGCACGTCTACAAAGAGATCCTGCGACGTTTGCTTTGTTCAGTGCTCGAAAAGAGGCGAGATTTGTGGCAGGACAAGTCATGGCTACTTCCCCATGACAATGTGCCTGCTCACAATGCCCTGAGCATCAGACAGTTCCTGGCTGAGAAGAACATCACCGTGCTGGACCAACCTCCCTACTCACCCCACCTGGCTCTGTGGCATTCTTACCTCTTCCTCAAGCTCAAGGGGGTCATCAAGGGGACCCGTTTTGAAGACATGGACAACATCAAGATGGCTATGATGATGGAGCTGCGGAGAATCCCGGAAGAATCCTTCCAGGAGTGCATGGAGGTGAGGCAGAGAAGGCTGGGAAAGTGTGTTAGACACCAGGGGGATTACTTGGAAGGGGAAAACTTGTGATTTGTAGTTTGGATTTGAAATACATCTTTTGTGACACCAGTCCTGGAACTTATCTGACACAGCTTGTATGTCAGGAGACCTAAGATTCAAGTGGATGTTCCTTTGACACAGTTCATCTATCTAAACATTGTTGTAGAACAAGCACACCCTTTAACCCTAACAGGACAGTACATTCTCCCAAACTGCAAAAACTGCTCTGAAACAGCTCAAGGAGCATGATGAAGAGCTCAAGGTGTTGATCTGGCCTCCAAATTCCCCAGATCCCAGTCTGATTGGGCATCTGCAGAATGTGATGGAACAATCCTGATCCACGGAGGCCCCACTCTGACCCTGACTGGACCTGAACAATCTGCCGCCAACATCATCACAGGACACTCCCAGAGTCCTGTTTCCAACAGGTCAGAGCTTCTTCACTTGCTCATGATATTAGGCAGGTGGTTTTAATCTCGTGGTTGATCAACGAACGGCTTATCACAGAAAAAAAAGGTCACACATTCTCTCCTCTCATATCTGTGCCTTTCTTATGAGCAAAAACACACCCAAAAGCCTCTAACTGGGCAAAAAAGCAAACCATTAAATCTATGTGCAAATATTATTCTATCCCATGTGCCTGCAGAGTTCTCCTTAGCCTGTGGTGCAGAATACGCAAACGGCATTAACCGAATGCTGCTGCCTGAACTGACTGCTTTTTCTGCTTCTGCTGCAGAAAACACAACTTGAAATTTATTCATTTAGCCCTTGAGCCTGGTCAGAACTGCATTAATTATCTGTTAAAAAAAAAAAAAAAAAGAAAGTTTAAGATCTAGGCATACTTACTTATAGGTTGTTAGACCAGCCGGACTCCAGGTGTGTAGAACAACATGTGGGGTGAATCCATCCATCCATCCATTTTCTATACACCGCTTGATCCTCACTAGGGTCGTGGGGGGGCTGGAGCCTATCCCAGCCGACTTAGGGCGAAGGCAGGGGACACCCTGGACAGGTCGCCAGTTGTGGGGTGAATCATGGATAGGAAATGAGTTTGTAGATCATTGAGTTGCTGCAAACAGTAAATAACTTTCGAGGTGCTTCCCTGCAGACACTTAAGTTGCTGCATGAGGCAAACCTGTGACCTTCCCGTATTAAAAACAACAGACTATCTAATTGCTACACATCTCAAGGACAGCAGGGGGCTGCAAAAAGAATCAATTGAATTTGCTTCAGAGTAGCACGAAATGTGCAGCCCCACACACACCAGTGTGAGGGTGTGGCACGCCAGCAATACACATGGGAGGTTTTTTGATGAGCTCATTTAACACAATTTTTTACGCATAGCATGAAGGATCTATCTACCCAGAGCGGCATCGTGCACCTCAAAACTGTTGACGCCATCGAACTTTAATTGCTGTCAGATGGAATTGCCGATTGAAACTGAAAAAATCGGATAGTGTAAAATTTAATTAGTGCCGTCTGAAGCTGTGATTTATCAACGTGATTTTAGCCAGTGCAGGGTAAAGATGTTGTTATTTGTCCCCCATTTTAAATTATCATCAGCTCTCCTGAAGAAATCCAAACTAACAAAAATTATATGGCTAGTATCTCCAGTTAAAAACACATTATAAAGTCATGTTGCTGCCTTTTGCTAATGCAGAGATTCATTGTGATAACACAGCAGCTAATGCCAGCTGTATTTATTGTGACTCAGCGGTTCAGGGCAAGGCAATGTGACTGACCACCATTCAATGTAGAACCGTGAACTTGACATAAAGACAGACAAACCCTCCGTGACATCACCCACATTTCGCGAAAGCCAGTTTCGAAGCTCAGTGAGGCCCTTCCGGCCGTTCTCAGCAGTGCCTGTGTCCTCCTAAGTCTCGGCTAATCACAAAATGAGAAAAGTGTAAGTGGTGCTAAGGGTTTTTTTGTACCGTACTCTTTATTTTGATTATAAAGTTGGGGTCTTTGGGGATTGACTCACTGTGGTTCAGGTGGTAGAGCGGTTGTCCTCTAATCACAAGTTTGGCGGTTCGATTCCCCGCCCCTCCACAGTCGAAGTGTCCTTGGGCAAGACACTGAACCTGAAGTTGTTGCCAGTGGCAGGCAGGCACCTTGCATGGCAGCTTTGTCGCCATTGGTGTACGAATGTGTGCGTGAATGGGTGAATGAGAAAACATTGTAAAGCACTTTGAGTACCACTAAGGTAGAAAAGCGCTATATAACCATTTGCTAGACCCATGTTACCTGAGTAGTACTCCTATTTGTTTCTACATACTGTCAGTTTGCTAGACAGAGCTTTTTATTAAAATACAGTTTTTCCAGTGGTTTCCCTTTAGAAGCTTTGGTGCCCAAATGCATGCATGATGTCTGTGTAAATGGTCTTTTGTCAGCATGTGTCATCGCTGTGAAGGACTGCCAACTGGCACTACGCCTCTCACATAGCGTATGACAAAGAGACAACAGCACCCTGTGATGCTGCACTGGATATGAGGAAATAATGGACTGATAACTAATCAAAAGCTGAAATAATTCCAGCATCATGCTTTACACCCTGTATTAGTCATCAGCAGTTTTTGCTTCATTCTGCCACTCCAGACAGAGTGGGTGCAGCATAGGAGGCGTAGGCTGCACTGTTAATCAATAATCGTCACTTGAGGCAGGTAAGAATTTACCCAATCAGTTTTGAAAACAGGTCAGCGGGCTGCCACGCAAGCAGGGAGGCGGAAATGTGTGGGCAGCACAGTGTGACGTGCAGCAGAGATGATAAAAAAATATTAGGGAAAGGTGATGCATGTTAATAATTTAAATTTAATAAAATATTGAAAGCGTTTTCATGGTCTGAAGTGAGTGTTGGGTAGAAGGTTACAGATCATGAATTTGAATGAGTGATCAGTAACTTCTGTTCATCTCAGTTTAAGAGCTGGTGATGAGCCTGAAGCTGCTTAGTTATTGTTACAATTTAAAGACTTCAAATTTCAACCAATGTATTGATTTCCGCGACCTGACTCCGGATAAGCGGGAGAAGATGGATGGATGGATGGATGGATGGATGGATGGATGGATGGATTTCCACTCGCTGTTTGTTTACACTTGTCAAAACTGACTGTATGGACAAACAAGTTCCAAGCAGAGAAAAACAGTCTTCAAGTCATGGGACAGTGCAGATATTAAGACAGGTTATACTCATGGCAACCATTTAGAGTGGAGGGAAATAAATCATCAGCCTGACTGTGAATAGAATAACTTAGCGTATTTGTCTGACCTGCTCTCACCTCAGACCTCTTACAGTCAAATGAATCAGCAAGCAGCAAGAATTAAAACAACTGTACTTGAAAAACAGAAGGAAAAAAAAAAAACCTAATGGGTGTGTGTTGCTTGAAGGAGCAGTGAGTCAATAAAACACGATTCAGGAAACCCACTCTGAATCACAGATCCATAAGTTGCACAAAACCCAATTAACTTTGTCATTTATCACAATATGAAACGTGATTTTTTAAATTTTGAAAGCATCCCAGCTTCACTTGTATTTTTCATCTTGAGGAACTGTAAACAGCAAGAGATCCATCATTCACAATGCAAAGCTTGCCTTTCTGAATGACACTTCAAAGTTGACACAGGTTATTTTTTATTGTTTTTTTGTGCCAGGTGACATTGTCCTTTTTTTTTTTTTTCATATCAGAGCTGTCTGTAACAACACTCCTTCTGGAGTGTGGTTGTGCTGTGTTTTCTCATGCTGGACTAAATTCCACCAGAGTAGAGCCCTAAACTCTGTGAACTTCTAAGTACAGGTATCTACGGGGGGATATGTGAAAATGTGTTGAACCAGTAAAGCTAGCGCATGACTGAAGGTTACTGCTTGTGTTTACATTCAAGGTGGGAAAAAATCAATAAGTGGAGTTGAAAAAGTACACTGCCAAGTCTTTTGATCTGAAAGTTTACTGGGCCTTCAGAAGTTACA